GCGACATATGTCCGTTGAGCCGCCGTATCATACCTCCGGTTTCATTCCGCTTGCGATCTGTCAATATTCGCCAAATGTACCTGAATTGTATGCGATGAGTTGTTAAGGCAGGAGGAAAACTGTTATTTTTTTTTTTGGTAATGTGCATTGTTTGACTTGGAATTACGAATGGCTTCCATGGGGAAAGGAGGGTTGGAGAAGTTAAGGAGATGTTTGAGGACTATATATTTCATGGTGGTGATGTTGGTATCGCTGTTGATGTTATCGGCGCCGGTGATGGTGGTAATAGGGGATGTTCTGCTACCGAGTGTGTTGATTTCTAGTTTTACGTGCGTAAGGTGTTACAGTTTTAAAGAGCATTTGCAGAGATATGACTTCAGAACTTCCTTGATGGATATTCCTCTCGTTTCAATCCTGAGATCTCTTATCATCTCCTGTACGTGCTTATTTACAAATTCCTTATTCAATTTTTTCTAGTTACTGTGCATTTTACATAATTTTGAGCATTCATTCGAGTTCAGTATGCTCCTTCTCGTTTTAGTAAGTTTTTTCCAGTTCTTTTGTAGTTTTGCCACTTTGGAATGGGATTTTAGGTATGTCAGTATCCTTTGTATTTTAGGTTGGTAAATCGAATTAGCAACTCCAATTGCAACATACTGAAATATATTGCTGAAAATTAGAAGAGTCAATTTCTCGCATGGTCACTCAACTAATAGTTTTTATCTCAGATAGTAGCTTTCTTTGTTGAGAAAAAGTTGGAACCAAGAAGAAAGTTGAGTTTTTGAGATACTAACAATTAGCTGAGTGATAATCTAAGAAGTCAACTCTAAGGTTAGATCATTTTCGCCCAGTCATTCCCTTCTTCTTCTATGGAGATTTAATAAAAAAAGACTTCATTCTATTTTGTGTATTAGTTCAAAATGTCTTGATGTTTATGATTCAAATTGGAATTGTTTCTTAGGGAAGTGGTACTTTTTATTGGTTGTGTTTCTTGGTTATTTTTGCCTCCAGAACTAATCCATATTAGTTTTGATGATAGGTGTTTATTCTATGTGTGATGGACCTGCTCTCTCACATGGACCATATCTCGGAACTGCTACATTTTGTTCCATGATATCCATTGTTCTTCTTTCCGTAAAGGCTAGTGTTTTCTCTGGCTCATACTTGGAGGCTGAAGCTTCATCTGCTATCTCAAAGCAAAAGCTTCATTTGAACAAGTCATGGGGGATGCCTGTGTTGTTTCTATCATCTATAGTCTTTGCTGTTGGACATGTTGTTGTTGCCTATAGAACAAGCTGTCGAGCCAGGAGGAAACTCTTGTTTCACCGAATTGACCCCGAAGCTGTAAGTTGTTATGTTTTCCCCCTTCTAGTTTTCTTAAAGACACATGCTAATCATCGGTGACACCGACTGGACTGTTCTAATTTGCATATTTTTTGAAAGAAGCTAACAACTTTTCCAACTGAATGGGGTCTGATTAAAAGATATTTATCTAAGTGTGATACTTGTGATTTGTCCAAGAAAATGTTAACTATGTGAAGATAATCGCTGGTGTTGGTTTATTGATTTACTCATTGACTGAAGAAGCAATTTAATGGAACCTATAAGTTTGTAACAATTGATTTATTGGAAATGTCAGGTCCTTCCTTGTAAAGTTGTTTTCTCTGCATACAATAAAGTACCACGATCTCCAACTCCTTCCGCTGGGAAAGTATCATCAAAATGTGATATTGAAATGAGGAGGAAACTTGCAGGATCAGCTCGCAATGACGGGGAAATCCCTGCTAAACTGCTTGCTGATGTTGACAGCTTATTTATTTCTTGCTTAGGGCTTACTCTTCATTACAAACTTAGGTTGCCTGGATCACCTTGCCGTTCCTTGTCCTCCACAGCCCATGTAAACAGATCACTAAATCTTACATCAAATGTGGATTATTGTATTCGGAGGAGCTACAGTAGTCAATATCCTGCAAACTGTCTCTCCACACCTTTATTAGATGGTTTTCAAACTTCCCCCATCCTGTCTGAAGAAATTCCTAGTCTCAACCTCGATGAAGTTGGTGATGGCGATCCAGTTAATAGTTCAGGTTCTCCTCGTCCTATTCAAGATCTGGAAGGTAATGGTCAGTTTGGAATTGTTCTGATACATGGTTTCGGTGGTGGGGTCTTCTCTTGGAGAAATGTGATGGGAGTACTAGCTCAGCAGGTAGGTTGTGCAGTCACTGCCTTTGACAGGCCAGGATGGGGATTGACATCTAGGCCTTTCCGAACAGACTGGGAGGAGAATCATTTGCCCAATCCCTACACGATTGATGCTCAGGTAATGGCTCACTTTTCAATTTTTTGCTTCAAGGGACCATTGTCAGCATGAAATCAAACAAGAGAGGTGACAGTAAAGAATTGAAAATATATAACAGCGGAATTACCGATCATTGTTAGGGGTGGGGGGATGATGACTGAATTACCCATTAAGCTGCAAGTACCGGAAGAACGAGTCTGTAAACTTTAGCACATATGTTAAACAGAGTGGTCAAGGCTCTAATTCCAGGAGTTTATGTATATGTGTGTAATCTATATGCTTGTATACGTAGTACACTTGGGGAATTTCCTTTAACTTTGAGAACAGATGACTGTGAACATATCCTTTTTCAATTAGTATTAGAGAGTCTGACTGTTGGGCTATAGTTTGTCCTTCATTCGGACAAATACTTGTAATGATCTTAGTGGCTATTATTTTCATTTTATATGTCCTGTCTTTTGTTTTTTGACAGTTGAAATTTCACTTGTCAGGTTGATATGCTTCTGTCCTTCTGTTCAGAGATGGGTTTTACTTCAGTTGTACTTGTTGGCCATGATGATGGTGGATTACTTGCACTAAAGGCTGCACAAAGAGTCCAGTCATCCACAAATTTTGTTAATGTGAGTGGTCGGGGTGTGTGTTTTAACATGTTTTAATTGGCATGAGTGTTATTGTCACTGGATGAATTGGTAACCTGGTAAATTATGATTCAGTCTTGAGAAAATATGTCAGTAGGGCCGCTTTTTTGTATATGCTTATCCATTTAATATCCTCGTTGAAGAAGAGTGTGAAATCTTGGGTACCCTTAGTTTTGAATATCAATTGCTGATGAACTATGGTATCTATTATAAAATTGTTCATTGCTTTGACGATTTTACTACTTTTGCCTTCTATAATAGGTTAAGATCAAGGGGATTGTATTATTGGGTGTTAGCCTGTCAAGAGAACTGGTTCCTGCCTTCGCAAGAGTATTATTACGCACTTCACTTGGAAAAAAGCACTTGGTGCGGCCTCTTTTGCGAACAGAAATTACTCAAGTTGTTAATAGACGAGCATGGTATGACACAACAAAGTTGACAACTGAGGTTTTGAGCTTATACAAGGTATGTGTTCTTATTCTTGAAATGTTGAGTGTGCTAATTTTTTGTTTGATTGACAAGAAACATCTAATCTGTTGTCTATAAATTTCATATCTTCATTTTGTGTATCTGGGATGCATGATATTATAGCCCTTTTAATATAGACCTCTTCCCTTTTTCTTCCTAACCTCCACTTAACAATATATGATAAAAAAAATAATATTTGTGAGGGTTCAACTTTTGATATGGATGAACAGAAACCATTATGGATAAGTTTTAGAAGATCACACTCCCTAAACAGTACAGTATTCTCTTATATATGTGTAATAGATTGCCATCGTCAATATGGAAGTACTTACCACTTCTGGGCATAGAAGATGCCAACAGTTTTTCTTACTAAATGGTTTCAGGTCCCTTCTTTTCAGCATCTTTACACTTTCCATAGATATCATATTCCAATCTTAATCGCTTCTGCTTGTTTATTTAATCAGGCACCATTATGTGTGGAAGGTTGGGATGAAGCACTCCATGAGATAGGAAAACAATCATATGAGACAGTCCTCTCCCCAGAAAGGGCAGCAGCACTGCTAAAAGCAGTTGAAAGTTTACCAGTTTTGGTGATTGGGGGAGCTGAAGATGCAGTGGTACCTTTAAAGTCTGTTCAAGCTATGGCTTCAAAACTTGTAAATTCTGTGAGTTGTTTCGATCTCTTTATATTCATGGAAACTGCATTTTATGAGCTTTCTTCAGGATAAAAGCATAAAGTTATTAGTCTCAGGCTATTAACTGTGGTGTCTATTTAACGTACAGAGACTGGTTGCTATATCGGGATGTGGTCATCTGCCGCATGAGGAGTGTCCCAAGGTATTGTTAGCGGCTATGTCACCCTTCATCAATAGAATTTTAGCTGAGCAACTGCTACACCAATAGGGTTCTCTATGTCAAGTCAAGCAGCAGCATCCTGTGGATTGTATTGTTCTTCTATAAAATTTACTCAGAAGGTAGCCAATCTTTAGGTAGCTTGAGGCTCTGCTTTAGAGCTTTTAGTTTTAGTTTCACCGATCCTTGAGCTTGTTTCCTAGTTTCTTCTTTCATCATTGGTCATGTTATCCCCACATAAGGAGTGGAGATAACTTTTTTATGTACATATTCTTTCAGCAAAAAAGTGCAGCGTATTTCCCTAAGGTGAATCTGTTTCCATCTCTCTTCCTTTAGACTAACAACACACAAAAATTAAATTCCGGGAATACATTTTCTATCCATATTCTTAATCATTTTAGTTAACTTTGATTTTATCGTCGTGGTCAATCAGTTTCTTAATAAAAAAGACAGAGTGAAAAAATGATTCTTGTTATTACTTGAATAGTATAAGAATATTTTTGCCCACTTAGATAATATAGAAATGCACATTAAATTTTTGAATCTTTCTTTTGATCAGCGTATTGACTTTCATTTGTTACATCAAGAAGATGGAACACTTATTACGATGATACTTTCTGTGATTTGCCACGTTTCCAGGGAGGATATTTTTCTCGAGGAAAAAGAAGTTGCAAGAATCTTCGTCCATCCCCATTATAATCCTTGAACTAATTGGCGTGTGAACTTCAATCTTGCAACTACTGTCCAACTAAAAGTAAATTTCACATTGCAGCATTATGATTCACCTTTTGTTTGCAATAAAGTTTATAGTTGTTTGAAGCACTGTCAAAACAATTTACACAAGGTTACTCTATAGACTAGTAATATTGTACTGTGGAGGAGGGAAAATGTATTTTCACTTTAGCACTTTGATCAATACTGGTGTAAGATCCCAGGCTGTTTTCCCTTGACACTCGACTTCAAGGTCTCTTTGTCACTGCGCTTTGCAGATGCATCTACACTCCAGGTAGGCTGTCAATCCGATGGAATTGTTTGATGTTAAAGGTTATCTTCGTCCTTCATTTCATGATTTGCTATGACATCCCTTTAAATTCATTCTATGTATCGATGGACTCCATCAAAGTGGCAATCTGCAGCTCAAACATAAGAGCAATCACATTTACGCATAGACAACAACTAAAGTATGCAACTCCAGTTGACTATAGGCGATATCAACTTACCTGTTCCTCCAATTCGGATATCTCCTCATCCTTCATTTTCAAAGCCGCCTTCTCCCTGAAAGTTAAATGTTAGAAGATAAAATAGGCAAGTACATGACAAAATTGGGAAGCAATAATAGCATTTCTGGATGAATGCACATGAAGTTGGTCTGAAGTACTTGATCATTCATTACAAGAAAAAAAAAAAAACTCTGCCTTATGCTGAGTCCAGCTATTTCCTCATAGAGTATATCAACTTTGTAAGAAAACCAACCGAGTCTAGAATTTTGCACTAGCGGCATATTCTTCTCTTAGAACCAGATCTTTGAGAAGCAGTTATCACAAAGCAACAAAAACGAGTTCCCAAACCAATACATATCTGAAAGAAGCAATTCTAAAATTTATTAGAAGCCTCGTTTAATGTCAAGAGGTGAATTTTTTTAAAAGAAAACAATATATACCTATGTGGAATTTGGAACCTTGAGAAAATATGATTATCTGATGAGAAAGAGAAACTCCCAGTGTTTCCTGGAGTTTATTTCTTATTATATATATGACGTGATGTTGCTATTTCATATCCTAGTCAGAGAAGTTACAGTGAATGAATCCTTCTAAAAACCATAACGAAGCACAACATGCAAAAAGAAAGTTGATGTCAATCAGTACAAAATTGCAGTTCTTGTGATCCACCTATGTGGAAATTGTGAAAATACTATCAGTTATGTAGAAAATAAAAGAACAAACATTTGAAGAAAAGTGGGTTGATGGGTGAAAGAGTTCTGACAGATATATTTCCTGCCATTGCCTCAGAAGAGGACACATGACAACAAGGAAAGATAATACCTTTCTTCAATTTCCAATATCTTGGCTTCCCATATCTCCTTGTTCCTCGTAAGATTGTCATTGATCTAGAGGTTCAAAGCCAAAAGATTCAGGTTTAAAATCCGCAGAAATCAAATGGTGATTAATAGACTTCAAAAGTACTCACGTCATCATGGAATTTCTTCTCTTCAACGCATTTGTCCAAACGAACTTTTAACTTCATTAACCTTGGATTCTGGCATAGAACTTTCTCAACAGCTTCCTTAGTTTCCCTTTCAATTTCTTCTTCAGCCTCTTGCAATAAGGACTCAAAGTACTGCAATCAAAAGCAGAAGCTATTAATACAGTAAATAGAATGCAGTTGTTCTAAACTACACAGTAAATAGAATGCAGTTGTTCTAAACTACACAGTAAATAGAATGCAGTTGTTCTAAACTATCATCAGTATCTCTACATTCAAATGAGTAGCCAGAATCGAAAATATTCGTGACAGTCAGATCAATAAACAAGGGAAAACTTAACCATTTTTTGATCCTCCAGTTGGGAAGTCAGGAGATCATTGTACTCGTTCACAATCTGCAGAAACAAAATTTGAAGATTAGCGAGGATTCCAAGTAAAGTAGGAGAATGACCAAAGCAATCCAAAATTAAGCATTTGACTAGATGAAAAAGTGTACACGAGAAAAAAAATACAAGTTAAGAGACACATACAGCTTCAACTTTGCTGTTTAAAATAGTCTCGCTGAACCCAGGATCTGTACCACACTCGCAGCTGCAGCAGCCATCACTATCATGATGACCATGGTGGTTGAGCTCAACCAGCTTCCCATCAGTTTTAGACTGAATCAAACGGTGAACATAGTTATCCCCTGCGTAGTCCCAGACACGCCGTGTTTCTAATTCAAGTGCATAGCAATGTTGTGTCTCCTTCCAGTGCCTTGTAGCATGAGCCTCTTTATATCTATAGAAAAATAAGCATGAAGAACATTCATAACCAACTCCAGTACTTATCTGGCAGTCAAAAAGATGATATTGTCTTTTAGGTCTTCAAAATTATTTATATAGCTCCACCAAGCACTTCTCTCTTAAATTCTCTATTATGTATATTTTTAATTTTTTTAATGACAAGGGAAACCCGCAGCCGCTACACCTTGGGTGCGCACAAGGTAAGAACCCCGCTCCTATGCAATAGCTCGCAAACCATATAGGAGGTAACCCACACTAGGTAAGTCCGGTATGACAAGCTCGACCCGGAAGGCAAACCCCTTACTTTCATTGGCAAGGGGTTTCGAACTTGAGACCTCCAACCTGGAAGTTCCAAGCCGATACCACAGGAGCTTGAGACCTCCAACATGTATATAGAAATTGAGTTTTGGTTGTCATTAAAAATATTTTGCAAGTTATCATTTAAAACTCATTTTAAGAATAACTAGATAATATTTTACGAATTTGATATAAAATCTACCTCCATTTTTAATAATTATGTTTTTGTATTACTTGCATGAGTATATGCTTACAAATATTTCACCCTCTTTCAATTGTGTAATAAATTTTCTAGTTTTGATTGCTATTTATTAAAAGTACTGATACAAATAAAGTATATCATTCTATCTTTTTTATTCCGCTCAATTATTTTATTATTCAAAGTAATAATTTATATGCTTGATTACTACTTCTGTTCCTTTTGGAAATAGCCTCTCTACCTCCCCGAGCTAGTGCTAAGGTCTACGTACAGTCTAACCTCCCAGACCCCACCTAGTGGGATTTAATCGGGTATATTGTTGTTATTTACTACTTTTGTTTTCTTCACTGCGAAAGTGAAAAATTCCCCTTGAGGGAAAAAAAGAGGAAGGTGTTTATGATATAGGTAAGTCCATAAAATTAAATTTAGAAACGAGAAAAACATCATGATAATTAAAACCAAAAGAACCAAAAGAAAAGAGAGTATGTTGATAATATAGAGGGTGTATATACTTAAAAAGAAATGTCTACTGTTCAAACTTGGAGGACTTTGATTCTTAAAGGAATTTTCAAACTTATAGGAGTTTGATTCACTCGCAAAGTTATTTTGGTATAAGAAGATCAAACTTCAAATAGAATGGTCAAATAACAAGAGAGATAGCATTATTACCTTCCACACCCAACAAAACCACAAATAACACACATCCATAGATTTTCTGGTGATTGACAGATAGAACATGTTGAGTTTCCAGGCTGCTGCTGACAATATCGGCATACCTGAGAGAATTTGTTTTAGTTGAGTCAGCTAATTTCTTTTAATACTTCAGTCTTCAAATGAGATACATATTTTCTAACCAATGCTGGTATATGATATCTAAAAACCAGCTTAACTACAGGAAAAAAAAATTCTCCCCTCACTGTTAATCAAGTGGCATGACCCTATTTATACTGTTTTCGGCGATTGGATGCATACGTCCTCTCAAGTATATGAGAGTTTTCTTCACTAGGAACCAGGGTTATATACATTCATCAAACAGTCTAACTTAACCTGATTATCTGACTGCTAATTAACCAAATAACTTTCGGATAAGCAACTTATCAAAACTTGCAATAGAATCAAAACTCTTGGAACTTTAAAACCTTGTAGTGCCAATATAATCAAAATCAACCAAAGGGTAGCGGCTGCATGTTTCCTTTGTCATAAAAAAAATATATATATAATCAAAATTCAACCCTACACTATTAGCCACATCTGATTCAAAGTTCATCATTAAGAAAAGAGAAAGAAACTACTCATGTTGAAAATTATTGATATTAGATATAGTGGGAATGTTGAAAATCATTCTCTAAGCTAATAGCTATCTGAATTCTGAAGAAGCACCAAAGGGTGTACCAAGTAGTCAAGATGTGGGTGAAAAACCTGGAGGCGGGGTTCAAATATCAACAACAAAAAAAAAAAGCTAGATTATTTTGTCCCATCTGCCTAAGCCTTGGAGGGCAGCGTTACCCAAAACCTGTGAGAGTGGAAGGTAGCCGGTACCAGCGAAATAGTCTTGGTGTATGCAAACTTTCCCAAACACCATCTTTATCAAACAAAAAGTTATATGAAGAATATATCAAACATATGGTGGAAAGATAAAAGTACGGTATTACTTACGGGGCATGAAGAATCTGTCCATTTTGAAATACATGAACAATGAAAGGAATGATTACAAATGGTTGTGAGAATTCCACTTGTATCCTGGTCCAATCTCTCTGGAAAATGCACAGGAATTAAGATACATATGAGTGGAAAACCATTTTGTTTAATTTCATAAGATACAAAAAAAAATCACCTAGTGTTCTTGTCTCTATTGGGATTTGAACCCGAGATATCATGATTATCAATCAACTTTATTGACCACTAGGTCACACCCTTGGGTGCTCAAAAAACTATAATAAAATAGAACTCCTAAAAACATCCCTCATTGATACTGGTCTTGAATCCTTGCTCTAGTGGAGAACTCAATGATGACCTGGTATTAGAACTCTTAAAACCTACTAGAACTCTCTATTTAACTAAGAAGATACAATCAACCCAAAAAGAAAAACTTATCTCTAAGATCATACTAACCAGCTATATGAAAGCTAATATATGATATTCTCATGGCCTTAATCACCACATGCTATAATTGATAGCAAATGGTAAACTTTTACTTTTATATGTTAAAATGGAAGTTACAAACATTTTGGAGGAAAATGAATGAAGATGAAAATCTCTAACATGTTGAAGCGAATCGCACAGTAGATGTGCTCAGTTGTTGAAAAAGTAAACTCCAAGATGAAGGCATTTCCAAAATATAAAGCATTTTGAAACTAGATTAGGTAAAATACCGAGACAAACAGGACAGAATGGTTGCTCTGTAGAGCTTGCAGGTAATGACTGAGTGTGCTCAATTGAGCCGGTGTAATGCACATCAGCAGCAAATAGCACATCGCACGTCTCCTCCTGCAAGCAAAGAAAAAAATAAGAAAGAGTGGAGTATGAAAAGAAGCTGGTAACAGATGTTATGAGATACCTAATTGATGTCACAGCAAGAGAGAACTTTTGACCAACAATACCTCAAGAGATGAAAATCTTCTACCACTAAAATGCTTGTGAAAAGTATCTGCAGCTTTCTGCTCATCAAACCTGATCAATATACTGTAACAATCTTCCATACCATCATTCCTAGAGGAGTACACATAAGATACCAAAGTTCAGAAGGAATCACAAGCAACCAGTTAAATAATGTCCTCATAAATTCTAGGAGAGAGTACCTGACAATTCGCATTTCCAACATATGTTGAACAAATGAACCACAAAACTGACAAAAGTCTGAATATGTCATGTGATTCGGAACACATAGAACACAGAGGAGAGGTTTTCTTTCCACCTAGAGACAATAACAATGACACCAGATAAGTTGTTGAACTTCATTCCTAGAGGATCAACATGGATGGTGGGAATTCATAAAGTCAATCCTAAGGCGTTTTTGTAGTTTTCATTTCTCACAGATATTGACCATTCGTTAATTACAAAACTTAGACCTATTATTGATCTACAGTTTTGAAAAACAGCATAAGATAAAATGATGTATACTAAGCGCAACAAGAATATTCATAGCTACTAGAATTTGAATGTAAAGTCAAAATGTTACTGAATTGGAGCCTTAGAGCATGAAAAACTATTAGGTTTATCTGGTTGTATTCTATTTTCTTACTAACACGTCCAAGTGCCGTAATAAAACAAGTCTCTCACGATTCAAGTTGGTTTGGAAGTATAGAATTATCAACAGAATTGTTAATTCAGAATCTTTAGCACCACCAACATATGGTAAAGCAAAACTGCAGTCATCTTCCACAGTAATTCTCAGATATACTAAAAGGCAACATAATTGTACGTATCATTATCAGATGAAGCGCAAAAGAGAATAAATACGAATCAACAACCACAAACTAGTCGGATGGAAGAAAACCTAGGTTTTAGGAAAAAAAATCAAACAATCAAGGAAGGAATTGAAGGATTGGAATCGGAATGCTTACTTACAGGTAAGTGAGAAGCAACATCGTTGGAGAAGAGATGCATGACGCCTCTAGTTTCTTCGATGCGAGGGTTTCCAGAAGAAAAATAGAACACCTCAGTCAAATTACACATGGACGTTGAAGAATCCATCACGATTTCTGCCCGGATTAGCTCCTCCACGCCCACGCTACGTATTGAAATTGATTCTGGCTATAATTTCTCTTGTATGGAAGACGATCAATTTTTTGAGATGTCAAGTGTAAGTAATTTATACTCTTTTATCATATTTAATAGGAGTCCAAAAAGTGGATCGCTAATACATTTTTGAACTTTATAAAATTCATTTGGATCATAGAAAAGGTCAATAATTCGTTTTTATTAGACTACTAAAGCAGAGAGAGTATTTCGTTAATTGATTTAGGAAAATGCACAATTATTTTTCACTGAGATTACGGGCATATGTTAAGGGTTACTCGTGCATCATTCCATTGATTTATATAAAACTTAAATTAGATTATTAATTTACAATCTCACGTGAACAAAATATGTCTAAGTTACAAGCTTAATAATATATCATTATTCGTGTGTTGTAAAAATTAAATAAATGATACATAAATTAGTAATATATGAAAAAGTAAATCATGTATAATTAAATTCTACTTAACTAATTATATATTATTAATATTTGTCTAACATTAACTTGCCATTCAACTTTAGAGGTCATTTGGTCGGTGAGATTAAGTGACATTTACTTATGGTCTATAGATATTATTTAAAAAATTTCTTTACACTATTAGCTCTCTCGTATTAAAGGGGAGTCATCTCAAACATTATGAGTAATTTTTTATAACGACAAACTACAAAATCTTTTAAAATTATTGGAGATGTTGTACATTTCAGATATGTCTTATTCTTGTTCCATTCGTTGAGCAACAGACCACGTTATGCTCCATTGTTAATGTTATCCAGTGTTCGATTTTCTTATTGATCCCGCAAGAGCTTATGCTGTTATTTACTATCCTCATTATGCAATTTGCACATTTATTTATCATTGTTTCGAACTGCAAAATCTACAGGCATTCCTCTAAACAAGTTTAATTACTCTCAACCAAATTGTTACATAATCACCAAATACTGGCTGGAAATCAAAACATTCCTTAGTTCTATTTAAGAGGAGCATAATTTTAAACTAAAGCAGCTCCATGACATCCAGAAGCTATCCTGATCCTAAGGTCGACCAACAGCATTAAAAATTTCCAACAAATTCTCAAAGCTAAAGTTTTCAAAACTCAGTACTATTTCATTATATTAAGCCTTGTTACAGAGTTCACTTTTTTCATACTATTATATCTCTAGGTTTGGACATCCTACTGGTTTGTAAAAGCAATTGCAAATCCAAGGACAATATGAACCTGACAAGAGAGTAAGGTACTTCTCTCAGTTCTACAGAAAAAACTACTCCAAAGACTATATAACTGATGATTACGATCACGGGCCAGAAAAGAATATCCAACACTCTCAAAAGCTTAAGTCTTATTTCATAAGCAAAAACCTCCGAAAGTCAAGCCAGTTACAGCTTTCCAAAAGGAGAAACCATACAGAACCCTTAAACTCCTAATCAGGCATCAACTACCTTCTGCTCCACACCATCGACCTGTGTCTCTTCCTTCTTCTTTGTTTCTGAAACAGCCAACTCGTCAATCTTTTGGGTCACCTCACCCATACCATCATTGGCATTTGCAGTAGTAGACCCGTTTGCTGTGGAGTTGTCCTCAATCTGACCAAGAGGACCCAGCTGCCATATTCTAATAGTCCCATCTTCAGATCCTGAGGCATAGGATTCACCTCCAGGAGAGAACCGCAAACAGTGCACAGGTCCGTGGTGTCCCTTGTTGCATCCTATGTTGTACAAAAAATAGAATATAGCATGTGGTTAAAGCTTGAAGCTACTTGAACGAAAATAGAAGCATAAACCCCTACTTAATTTAAGAAAATGCAAATACCAGAAAAAGGAACACAAATAAAGAGGGGCATTGATTAGACTAACTAGAATTAATTTCTAAATATTTACAGAGCCCCACACAACTTACCAATTTCCTCTCCAGTGTGAAAATCAAAGACATGAACCCACATATCTTCTCCTCCAGCAATGAACCTATTACCGAACTTTGGTTCCAGGGAAGCAGATTCAACTTTGCAAGGCAATTCGTGACTCTTCACCAATCCAAAGCTGCTTGTAAAGAAATAAGTTAAAATGCAATGTAAACTATGGCAAGATACTGAATTGAAAACATTTTTGTTCCAATGAAGTAAAAAAAACAATACATACTGGTTAGCATCCCAAAACTTGACAGAGGAACCATCAGCAGTTGTTATGTAACGACCATCCTGACTTACTTCAGCACTGGTTACAGGAAACTTAGTTTCAAGGATTTGAACAACTTTGCCGGTCCTCACGTCCCATAACCTAGTTTACAACAATTAAATCAAAACCAATTTAAGGTAGTGAAGAGAACTGGGGAGTGAATGTTCATACGGATATATGAACCACACATATGGCCATTGTATCAAGTATCCAATAGTATTTAGCAAGTATTGTACATGACTTGGTTAAGGGTATGGTAGATCAAGTTTACGGTTGAATAGTAGATCAATTAATTGCAAAGTCTAAGTGGCCATGAACACTAGCCTATTACTAATGCAACCAGTGAGAAAAAAATGAACAAAATATACAACTAGATTCAGCAGACTTTTGAAAGCCTACCTCAATCCACCAGCATCTCCAGAGGAACTCAAGATAGTTTGATCGCTGTGCAGCCAAGCAACTGTCCGTACTGAACCAGGAGAGCTGTCAATTTCCCTTGGAGGTGCATCAGGTCGGTTTAAATCAAATATTCGAAGAATTTTTTCAAAACCACCAGTGAGTAGCAGATTTGTATCCTACAAAGTCATCACACCATAGTTCATACAAATTAGCAGAATGTAAAGGTTTATAAATGGAAAAGATAAAAATGAATTGAAGTCCCTTTGACATGTGGTACCAATTAAGAGATTTTGTGTGTGTGTGGGGGGGGGGGGGGGGGGGAGAGAGAAAGAAAGTTCCCATCAAATAGGATTGACTGGAGAATTTATATCAAAGCCTGAACAATGTATATTACTTTTAATAAAGAAAGATGTTTTCCTTGCAATAGCAGTTAGGTTTTCAACCTACACAAGGGGAATTGACATAACCACCCAAGAGCGTCGCCTACTGGTTCTGCCAATATACATAAGACTTGATGGGCATATATATTCACAGCATTCTATTGTTTTGTGAAGGTATTTCTCTTTAAGGCATCAAGGAGATGCAAAGCTGTAAAAGAACAGAAGTGCATTTTTTAACCCCCTTATAATGTGTCAAACAAAGTGCAACAGTATTCTACAACTTAAGTGAAGATATAAAGAGCTCTAAGGAGCTCTAACCTGAAGGAACTTTAATAGAAGTAAAGCAGGAGGTACCTCTGAAAAGGCACATGCTCGAACTATGTGCTTGTGGTCAAATGAGTGTAATACATCCCCAGTCAATGCATCCCACAATTTCCTGAAAACAACCAACAGAAATGACAATATAGAAAGGTAAAAAGAGGACAATATTGAGCCATGGAAAATTTAAAAGAAGGATGAAAAAGATTCTACCATATTCTATAAGATATTATTTTAATAAATATAAGTATATAATGACATGCAAGGTAGATCAACGATAGACATGGCACAAAAGTATTTATTTTGTTCTACATCACTTATTATAGACTAATGTACCATATAAATGTCACTTAAATGTTACTTTTCAAAGTACTGAAGTGAAGCCACTAGATAACATACGCGCTGAAATCGGCAGATGCAGATGCAGCACGAAGAGCATGTTTATCCAGACAACAACTCCACACGGCTCCTTTATGCCCTTCAAATGTTCCAATCCAATCTCCAGTTTCTCCATTTCTCAGCATTGGCGTAGAATCTACAAAATGAAACAATTCAGAAATTAAGAACACACAACAACATGAAAACTTATTGCAGCATATGAACAAATACAACATTAAAACTTATTGCAGCAAATAAACAAATACAACATGAAAACCTACTGCAGCAAATGAACAAATACAACAACTACTACACACAGGTCCCAAACAAATTGTGAACAAATACAAATCATGATTGACCATGTTTCTCCATTAAATTCATCTCGATTCAACATTATACAAAACAAAAATAGAAGTACTAAAAGTTCTCTTTATTCTCTATTTGAATAAAAATGTTTGATAAGTCCAACTCCTATGAAGCATAGGGCATAAAATCTAAAATATATATATTAACATGACTAAAACATATTCAGGACCAAATGGTATCTTTCCTGTACAAGTCTATTTCTTTAATTGAGCATTATCTTTCACCAAATCTGATTGACGAAAAAACAAAAGCATTAAATCAACAAATATCAGAAGAAAAGAACTGGGAATTTTTTGACGATGGTATAAATACACTAAAGAACATCTTCATTTATATCAGTTTCTGCTTTACCAGACTCCTGTGATATGGTGGTGAAAAACCTGAGGCTGATGAGATTTTATCTATCTTTCTGGACACTGTAAGCTAGAGAATAAGGAGAGACAGTTAGCATACATGTGATGACTTGCATGAACACTGACAACGTAGTAATAAAATCTCAATGGCTACTGACAACAAAGATACCATGTGCCGCAGCAAGCCAATCATTTTATTTACCACCACGTTTGGTGAGAACACTAGGCAAAACTAATACTGAAGATGATAATATATGCACATACCTACCATGGAATGCATTAAACGTGGTAAATTATTTGATGGAATAGAATGCAGATAAAAGAATTAAGGTTTACTATAACAAGGTCTGATAACATCTGCAGCACATAAATGAAGTGTGCATTTCACATCAATGCCTAAACACTGAAAATACAGAAACATTTTTCAATTTTCGTCAAGTTGAAAAATAATCTTCTTTGGCTTTCTTATTGATGCTTTTTAGTATTTTCCACAATCTCTAAACAAATGCATGAAATCCTAAAGTTCAACAGCAAACCTACAATTGAAACTAACATGCTACTCTATTTGCTACAAATTAGACGCGACAGCACAGAGCCAATGGTTAGCTATAGTAAATGTTACCAATACAATGCCAAGAACGTTCACAATCAAGGTTGTGACTAGCTCATACTTATATGGTAAAAAGTCAAATGCTATAAATGGGGTGTACTGGGGG